TCACCCATCCTTTCCTCCTTGTCTTCATCTGCCAAACGTTCACACCCATCATGTTACCTGATTCCCTCCTGGATCCAGGGTCCTTATCATCGAGAGAAAGGAGGACAGTGAGAGATCTTAGAAAATAAAATTCAACCCTTCTTTACAAGAAAAAGAAACAAAAAGGAAAGGGAAGTGGCAGGCCTTCACTATCGATTTATGGCCCTACCCACTTGCCATAGTATCTTTAGCAGGAGACAGGAGTGAGCAGAAGTCTCTTCTGTAAAAAATCAGCCCAGGGATCCCCACCTTGTGATAGTTAGCGGGCTAACAATGGGGAGGAGAGTAGTTGTGACACTCACTTGCCAGAGATGTTCCCATGGGGTGCTGTTGCGGGGAGAGACAGTTTAGAAGGTGGTTAAGAGTATAGATTGAGTACAGTGACAGCGAACCTTTTAGATAATAGACAGCTGGCTGTGGCATGTGTGCCATAGGTTTGCCACCACTGGTTTAGTGTATACCCCAAGGAATTAAAAACAAGGGCTCAAACAAAACTTCTACAAGAGTGTTCTTAGTAGCACCATTCACAGTTGCCAAAACATGAAAACAATCTAAATGTCTTGTCAAATGATGAATGGAGCCACAAAACGTGTGTCCGTGCTACAGCACAGAAACTTACAAACATTATGCAAAATGAAAGAAACCAGACACACAAACCACATAGCATGTGGTTCTTTTTATATGAAACACTAAGAATAGGCTAATTTATACAGACAGAGAACACACTGGTGGTTCCCAAAGGCTGTGAGAAAAAGGGAGTGGACAGTGACAGCTAATGGGCAGAGTGTTCATTTGGGTGGTGTGAGACGGTCTGGAACTTGATAGTGGTGAGGACATTGTAGACATTGTACAGTGCATTAATTGCTACTGAATTATACATTTTAAAATGGTAAATTTTTATGTTATGTGTACTTTACCACAATAAAACAGTTAAAGAAACTTGCTCTAGAGTGTTGGGGGCATGCAAAGACCTAGTTAGCTCTGCCTACATTCTACCAGTTACGAGTGGCCACAGCCTTGGAGAAGTTACTTAAACTCTCAGTTCCCATTTCCTAACCTGGACAGTGGAGGTCACTGTAACAGTAACCATCTGTAGGGTTAAACATCCTAAATGAGTCTAACTATGTAAAGTACTAATCATACATAGCACATAGTAAGAATGCTTCAAATATATGTGTTATTCATTTAATCCAGAGCTTCTCAACTGAGGCAACTTTTGCCTCCCTGGTGGCATTTGGCAATACCTGGAGATACTGCCAATGATCACAACTGGGGGTGTGCTAGTAGCATCTAGTGAAGAGGGGCCAAAGATCCTCCCACATATCTTACAATACAGAGGATAGACCTCCACCCCAGCAGAAATTATCCTGATCAAAATGTCTGCAGTTCCAGGGAGAATCCCTGGTTTAAACAGAACATGTAGAGAAACTTGCTTCATTCCATGAGTGTATAGATAAAATAGGTCAAATGGAAATTTCTGTTAGAAAAAGACGGTCAGCAAGAGTATTCAGTGTCCACTGTGTACAGAGAATGCTGTTTTTGACCTTGTGGGAGATGTAAGGGGGACCAAGGAGCTGCCCTCGAGGGGCGTAGATGAAGAGGAGCTCTTTGTGAGTGCATTCTGTAAGAGGGAGGTTTTTACCAAGAGATTTTTGTAATCATTTTTCTTTGATAAGAGGGTGACCTGAGGTCAGCCACACTACTCACAATCATGCTTGTGCCAATACTAATACTTACAGTCCTCTGCAAAAAGACCCTTGAGGGAACAGTGTGTAGTTCTTGCTCATGTCTAAATGTGGCTTGTGTTTGCATAAATTGTATTGAATAAATATCTGAAAAAGAAATCACTGTCATAAATAAAAAATCACTTGTTCTCAGTAAAGACTCAATAATAGAAAATATGAAATCTTGTGTTCGCCCAAATACCAAAAGGAGAAGGAGACCCCTTTTGCTCACTTTCCGCTTCAAAAGTTAACCAGATTCTGAAAGTGCACATTCATATAATTAACATAGTTCAGATCACAGCATTTGTTCTTACCCAACGTGGCTGGCTGGCCATCACAGGATGGGTATCTCTTGATTTGGCTAACAGTGAAAGTTGGTAGATCTTTATTTCTCAGCTCCATCTTTTTACTTTTAGGCCAAGCACTGGAAGACTTTCAAAGGTATGCCATGCCTCTGCTTGAGCCCTAGCAGTGACAGCTGTCCTTCTAGATTGGACAGTGAGGAGGAGGGCTAAGGAATTTGGTGGAGCCCATCAAGAGGGCAACTTTCTGGAGGTTCAGGTCCTTGGAAGCAGAGGCACAGGAAGGGCGTGATCACAAGGGAGAGTGGGAGACACCGTGCCATGCAAGTGCCTCTGCCCGCCTTCCTCCAGACCTCTGGCTACCTACAAGAGCAAATGCTTCCCAGCACCTTTTATTTATTCAGTGCCTGCTATGGCAAGGAATCTTTTTTTTTTTTTTGAGACAAGGTCTCGCTATGCAGTTCAGGCTAACCTTGAGCTCACTTTGTTGCCCAGGCTGGCCTGAAACTCACAACAGTCCTCCTGCCTCAGCCTCCCGAGTGCTGGAATTACAGGTGTGAGCCACCACATCCGGCCAAAGAATCTTACTAGACTCTCTTGTAGGGGGAAACAAGGGCAAGTTAAGCATATGTGTGTCACGGTGCGTCCTCAGTATGACATGGGAGTAAGATCATCACTGTGATACAAGATAATGACAAGTACAACCTGAGAAATGTGGATAAAACACCATCAGATTTCAGAAGACAAGTTGGGAGTTTGAAAAAGTCTTTTGGGGGAGGGTGGCATTTGAATTGCAGTGTGAATGTGGGTGAAGATGTAGACTGCAGAAATGGTAATAGTCTAAAGAACAGAGCAAGCTACCAAAGTGAGAAGCTGAGTATGTCAGAAGAGACTTTGTTGGATTTAGGTAGGGAAATAATATGAGCTGAATATTTGGGGGGCTAGCTCATGGAAACCTACAATGTCAGGATGTGTTAAGTGACAGAGAAGCATTGGAATTTTCTGAGTAGAATGGGAGGGGTGTTTGGATTAAGAAGTGTCCTGCAGCTGTGTGCAAGGTAGACCAGAGTGATGACGAGGGTCTGCATTATTGTGGGGCTGTCTAATGAATGTGTCAGATAAAGCATGTGGCCACACATGAGGCCATGGTGTGGCAGCAAATCACTGTACTTAGCAGGGCACAAGTTTAGAACTGTAGACTCTGAATGTAGATGCTTTGGGTTCTAGTCCTGGTTCTGCAATTTAAACTAGTTGCATGTCCTTGGGCAGAGTATAATAACTCTCAGTGCCTCTCTTCATCCATAAAATGTGGATAAAAATTTTGCTCTTCATATCCATGTACTGAAGATGAAATAAGTATGAGCATTAAATACATTCTGAGTAGCATCCAGCATAGCTGAAGTTATTATGCTCACTATAAAACATGGCTGTTGTTTTTGAAGGTCATAGAAGATAAAATAAGAGAAAGGACCTCTGAAATGACAGAAATGATGGTGGGATACAGGAATAGAGAATTATACTAGGAAAGTATTGATTTTTTTGTTACTGTCCAAAAGGCTCCTTGAAGGGCTTTGGTGAGATATGGAGCTATGTCCAAGCAGGGGCAGGATGAAATTTACAGAATGTTCATCTCCATAATGGTCCAGCCATCTGTGTTCTTCTTTCTTTCTAGCTCCTAAAGTATTGATTTTACTGTCTGGTATCAGCTGCATTAAAGTTCAGCAACCTATCAGGAGTACTACCAAGACATCATGTCTTCCCCACTTTTATTAATAGAGGGTCTTAGGATCAAAAACTGTGGTCCCACAGGAGGCCATTAAGTAAATGATGCTTTTAAGAGCAAGAAGGACATTTAGATAGGCTAGGACAATAAGAGGATGAGCATCAAAGATGTTTAACTTAAAAAAAAAAATGGTGGTGCTTGGGGTTTAGTTAAGGAATTCTTGTGGGTTTAGGTAAGGAATGTCTTGTCTTTGTGGGTTCTGTGGGGATGGGAGGAAGGAGGAGAAACAGGGAAGTATCTTAGAGCAAGACCTCCTGCCTCTTACTTTGCAACTTGGACTGTAAAACTCCAAGCTGAAATGTTTTGCTCTTCTTTGATACCCCATTCGGTGCTCAGCCTGTTCCAATTTAATGCATGCATAAGAATAAAGATGAAGCTTTCAAGTGCTGGGGTAGACTTGAAAAAAAGAGATGAGGCTTTATCTCTGTAAGATTAAGCAATCATTAAGGTTTAAAGGTTTAATCTGCTGGAGTTCAGCCCAGGATAGAGATCAGAGACCCAGGATAATTGGATGCAGCCTCAGACTTTGAACATCAGAGGTAGTTGGGTGTGTGTGTGTGTGTGTGTGTGTGTGTGTGTGTGTGTGTGTGTGTGTGTGCTTGCGTGCTGTAGTAGTAAGTAGGAGCAGTCTCTCCTTTGCTATGTGCCAGGGCAAAAAGAATAAAGCCAGTTGCCCCTGCCTCCCTGATCCTCTGTGACTGACTGGACACAGCTTCTGGGGGTTGCTGCTCACATGAATGTGTGCTATTGTTTCAGGCACACGCCAGCCTTAAGAAATAGCACAAAACAGGCCCGTCCTTATTCAGCAGCAAGCCCCCTCCATCACTCATACTGGCCCTTCCAGGTCACATGTCGGGGCCTCTGCAGACAGGACGCAGCTGCCTCAAATCTGCTGCCTAACATTAGCTGCGCTTCGAAAACCCTGACAGCAGGGAGCTTCCCAGACTCTGCAGGGGAAACTAGAGAAAGCTGAGACCAGGCACTATGTTCTCCCAGGAACTGTGGCTGGAAAATGAGAAAAAGTGTGCTGTGGTTCGGAAGTCTAAGCAAGGCAGGAAACGCCAAGAGCTCCTGGCCGTGGCCTTAGGGGTGAAGGTGGGAGTCAAAGGCAGCTTGCTTTGGCCTCCTCTCAAACTCTTTGCCTGTCCACAGATCTCCTCCTTGGTTCGAAGGGCTGCACTTACACACAACGACAACCACTTCAACTATGAGAAGACACACAACTTCAAGGTAAGCCCGTGTCCTTTCTTCTGCCATGCCAGGACAGGTGGGGAGGGACTGTGGATGCTTTCCATCTGGTCTCTGGTGGTAAACACAGGCAACTGCGAATTCCTTTGTTTTTCACATTTAGCTTCATGCTTACCACTGTACCTTTGTGTCTAATCAAACTGGAGCTCTTAGGACGCATTGTGCTTGATCCTTGTGCCTGGAAACACCTATGTGTATATTGACTTAATTCTGGAGAATTAGGCCCATTTCCTCTTCATCTTCCCATAGCCAGTGAAAGAAAAACAGAGCATGCCCGATCTGTGGCATTTACAGGAGCCCCGGTGAAAGGCCAGCAGTACTTTTCCATTCAGAGGAGCAATAAAAGGGTATTGCTGTCTCTGGGCAAATGAGAACAGTTGCCGGTTTCAGATTTTGTGTTTTGTCTTTTGTTTTCAGTGATGCTAACTCCCTTCACTTCTGTGTAGACAGCTGTGAAAGCAAATAGGGACAAGAGCTACCATCCAGTGCCTTTTGTGTGTGCTCCGGGTACAGGGCACTCTCACAGACTAGCCAAGCTGGATCCTCTTCTCCAGACCAAACAAAAGATAGGGTAACCTGGTGGGAAATTAAGTGTATTTTCCCATGTGTATCTACAAGTGGGAAAGACTACTATCTTCATTTTAGACCAGCACTCGCAGATCTGACCTTTTGTCAGAAAATTATGGCCTGCTTCCTTTCCTCTACCATGTCGTCCAGGAGGGACTTGTAAGGGAATCTGATGCTGAATTGCCTAGCATAGGAAGCTGCCGGGGGACGGGGGAGGGCAAGACAGACTAGTGTTGCAGATTTACCCCAGGAAAGGGACTGATGATTTGGAAATGGGAGAAATTAGAGTTAAAGGATCCAGGAAGAAAAGAATAAGCAGGAGACGCAAAATGTGAATTGCCTTCTTTTTTAACTCTTAATTTCCATTAGGGCCAGTAGCCTGAATGACTGTTGGAATTAGGTAATCTTTGGTCAGAGACAAAAAGGGAAACCAGTTTTCTTCCATTGCTTACTGATCCTTCATAAGAACAAATGTGCATCAGTCAAATATACATTTATGTTAGTTTGCGCTGTTTCCCTGCTTCTGTTTTTAGACAGCGAGGGGTTCCAGCATTTGCATGCTGTGCTTGAACTGAGGGGTGGAATTATTCAGCCCTACGTATTTAGCACTCGGGTAAAGAATTTCATTATATAGGTCTTCTTCCATCTCAGGGCTCTTGATGTTTCTCCCATCACTGAATTGTGACAGGTCTAATTTGGAATCTCTAAAGTCTATGGGTTTTTTCTCCTTCCTGTTTTGTATGTCAACCCTCATTAACCTTTTTACCTTAAGAAAGTGTTTTTGTGACTTTTGGCAGAAATCTCTGACTTTTTTGTTTCCTGTGGATGCACTGACATGGGTGAGAGGGTGGATCTTCTTGGACTTGTAAGTCCTTTTCCTTCCTCTTGAAAATTCCAATTAGTTCTCCTTTACGTTTCATTGGAATTCTGCCCTCCCATAAAGTTTGCATAGAATAGATTCTCCGTCTACTTTCTGTGTCTGAGCTGATGTTAAAAACATACATGCATATGTAGTGGATTGGTAACTTAAAAATCATTGTCCATTTTTTTCCTCTTAGATCTCTGAGTGGGAAATGACTCTTAAGGCCTTTTAAAACAAAAAGATGGTTGGGTCTTATTTCTTAAATAATGCATTTGCTAATGTGTTGTCATAAATATTAGTCCTTAGAAAACACCAGCAGCTTTTTAAGATGTTGGCTTAAAAACTCAGAATCTATTCAATGTGGCTTCTTTTAACTTACAGCTATTGGGAGAAGAGAAGGCCCAAAATAGACATACTCTTCAAGAGAGGACGCATAAGCTAGACAGGAGCATGTCGCCCCATGTTCTAAAAAGTCGTCTGAAACTTGCCAGACCCTGGAGTAGCTTGTGGCATTGAATGGTACTGTCTGTGCCACTGTCCCTTTGAAGAAGTGGCTGGAACCAGAGGAGGCGTGCCCTTTGTCAATCCTGGCCCCTTCCATCCCATCTTTTTGCTTTCTCTTCATCCTCCAGGAACTGAAAGTGGAAACTTTGTATGGGCTTTGGAAGAATAGTATAAAAACAGGTCTGTGCTATAATTACAGCAATGGAGTTTTAGAAACAAACCATCAACCAAAGGGAGAAATCTCAAACAGAGGCCCCACCAATTTGCTTGAGAATTGTGTTTTATAGCTTAATTTTACATTAGCTTTTTATTTATGTTGATTTCTAATAGTTTTTATTCTGGAACTTTCTTGAGTTGTATTCAGGTTACAGGAGGATAGCATGTCCTGCCATAGAGTAAGTGTTCAATAAAAATAACGAATGATCATATTTTTATGCTTGTCAACAAATATGCCTTGCTGGCACCCATCTGCACTCCTGCCTGAGGTTCACGTCTGCCGGGAGAGCCTGAGGCCTCATCCCATGACGAGATTTTTTCCCTCGGTCAGGTCTACTCCCCTCAGTACAAGGTCTTCTTCCTTATTTTATCCTAGAACGAAGAGAAGCGAACAGAAACTCCTAGCATTCTACAAGTTGGCAATTTGTGCCCTCTCTTCTTTGAAACATCCCAATGGCCGGTCCATATCTACTGTGCTTCTTTTGAAACAAGCACATTTAGGAAAAGCTGCAATTGAGCCAGAATAAAAGTTTTTGAAGGCAAAAGTCATACCTCATTTCCTGAAATAATTATGCACAGTCCTTTTAAAACATTATATTATACTGATGCAACTTTTGTCCATGGTAGGCCTGAATATTTTAGGGTTGCTTGCACCTACTAGACACCCTTGAAGAGGTATTTATTGAAGGAATGGTGAAATTAGCAGACTGCACTCTAAAATGAAAACTGTCAAGAAGAAAACCACTCCACTGTTCAACTCTTTTTACAGTTGAAATTCTATTTCCTAGCTGGCTGAAGTAGTCTTTTTTAATGGACTCTTTTAATGGACTATCCCAATAACACCTTGTGGCTGAGTTCCACACAAATCTCCAGAACAGCAAACCCCAGAGCCCCAACAATCTGATTGGCTGTCGTTCCTGCCCACCCTTGGTACATGAGGTGCTGTAGCTGGCTTAGCACTTGACCACCCGTGATCTTTAGTAAAGGTGTGAGTTCTTTAATCCTCAGCTTCCTCATCTGCAGAAAGGGAGTACTATGAGGTTTAAAGAACACCTGTAAACTACTTATCCTCATCTGTGGCACCTTATAACAAGTATTCATGATTAACATCTATTATTAGTTTATTATTCATATATTGTGTCTCTCACTTCCCCCAATTAAACAAATTATATATATGAGGATTCTATTAATTTCCTGTCATAATAGATGACCACAAACTTGGTGGCTCTCAGTTTTTGAGGCTAGCCATGTGAAGTCAAGGAGCAGGCTGGGTTGTTTCCTTCTAAAGGTTTTGCAGTCCTCCCGCGTCTGTTTCCTACCTTCTGGTGATGGCTGACAATCCTGTGAGTTCCTTTGGCTTGCAGTGTGGACAGATGACGTCACTGCAGCTTCCGCCTCTGTCTTCATATCATCATCATCTCTCTGTGTCTCTCTAAGTCTGACTCAAGTCACATACGAGTTATAGGACCAGTAGTATTTACATTTGATGTATTTACATTTGACCTTGTTTTAATTGTATCCTCAAAGCCCTATTTCTATAAGGCCATATTAATAGAGCCCAAGAGTGAGGATTCGACTGTACTTTTCTGGGAGGACACAGTTCAACCCATGACTAGGACTGGTTTGGTAGTTTCAGGAGCCTTCAATTAGAAGGATAACTAGCTTCATCCCAAAGGATGCATCCTCAGAGCCATGAGTTAAAGTTCACTGCTTTATTAAAAGTTTTCATGCCCACCCCCAAAAAGTTGTACTCTAATTGCTAAGTGCCAATCCCTTGGTCCAGACATGGCCTGGGACTTAGAGAAAGTTTTGTTGCTGTTAACGCTTCACTGTTGTGACAGAAAGTGATGAAATGTAGTCATTCTCGGTCTCTCATCTTTCCTAAGTATTTTTTCATATGGAGAAGTATGGTAAGGGCATCAAGAATCTTTAAAATACCTGGTAACCTTCCATTTTTACTAGTAAATCGGAAGTACCTCTTTGCTCTGGTTGATTCATATTCAGGGACTATATGTTTTAATCAACTATATGATGTAGCTATTAGTTCTCATTAATATATTCAAGTATGCAAGACTGGCTACATAATTAGTGGGGCCTAGTGCAAAATAAAAATGCGATATCACTTGTTCAATGTTACTGAGAATTTTAGGATAGTAGCCACAGACCATTTAGCCAAGGATGGGTCCTTCTCAGTGCAGGGCTGTGTGTGACTTCACAGCCACAGCTGGGAAGCTGCCTGTAGTTATAGATAGAGAACAGGCATCACAAAGGCCAATTCCACCAGAATTCCAACAGAAGGCCCTTCCTGGTGCCAGGACCAGTGGAGGAAGCAGCCTGGCTGTCTTCACCCTTAACCAGAAGTGGAAGGAGTAGGAATAAGCCCCACCCTGATAAGGAAATGGATAAACCTGAGATATACAAAGCAAAGAAAGAGGGCTGGGGATTTAGCTCAGTGGCACAGCGCCTGCCTGGCAAGCGCGACGTTGTGAGTTTGATTGCCGGTACCGGAAAAAAAAGAAAAGAAAAAAAACAAAGCAAAGAAAGAGCATCTAGGCAGTGCAAGCCACACAAAAGAAGACTCAGAGTCAGCAGTGAGCCAGGAGCAAGTAGAGTACAGAGGAGAAACCATGGGGCAGAAGGGCCCATGTCACAGTTCATCAGCCAGAGGGACCCGCTTAGGCATGGGTTCACCAGAGCCTTCTAGTGGCCCTCAGCCTGCCCTATCTGCCCTGTGTCCAAGTCCCTCTCCCCACCACAGGCTCCAAGACACCCTCCCTCCTCCCACATGGAATAGGGATTGAGTGTAGAGGCCTAGAAATTCCTGAAGTTCAAG